TCATATCTCTTAGTTTTGCTCGGCACGTCCATTTTTATGGACAAAAGTTCGATCTATGTCTATGTTATCTACCTCGGGTATTTAATTGACTTGGAGATGATCCATGACTATAACTAGGGGATTTCATTTGTGGTGTACCTCCACTCTAAATTAGCTAAGGGTAGTATGTGGAAGACTCGACAGTTGATTAGAAATGATTATCTATTTACAGTAGTTTTTTTGTACCTTTGTGTTATTAACGACACAATATATATGCTACACTATTATGTTATTGATATTTCATTTAGGCATTGATACACTAGTATTTTCCATGTATCTTTAGTTGGGCATATGTGGATGACTACTCTGGGGCCTTTCCACGTGCGTACTCAATCATCCCATTTAGAAGGAACCAAGCGGTTGAGCCGTTCCAAGTTGCTCTTGACCGCATCATGGCAGATGATATTAATTTGATGTCGTACGACGATCACCGTGAGATACAACCTTTGGATGTGATTACATTATACTCTTGATGGTTGGCATGTGTGTATCTACTTATGTACCCCATCTACCTGAGCGAGTCTTGTGCTAGTTTGGATATATCTAGGGTATACCAAGAGACCCCACCATTGTTGCTTCTTCAACTTTACTCTACAAGAATATTAATGTGATCTTTGCAACATAATTTGATCATCTAGAGCCAAATGTGTTAGCTCCTCGTCCATGGAGTACGATATACAACTACATCAAATGGTTTTATAGAGTTTCGTATACTTTCATGACACTAGATGCAGATGGAGATCCAGGGGTGGAAAACGGGCATGCCAGCCCTTTTTAGGCCCTTCCCGCAAAAGCTCGCAAAAAAGTAGGGCGGGATTAGGCGGTCATAGTTGAGGATACAAGCCTAAAACCTAGGTTCGCCCCGCAAAAAAGTGAGGGCGGGGCGGGGAAATCCCGCAGGCACTGCACTTTTTAAGCTTAAAAATGCAAAGGTTTATGTGAAGACTCGTGCCCACAAAAGCTCGCGAAGAAAATGGGTGGGGTGGGTCAGACACATTAGAGGTTGAGGGTCTAAAACCTTGGCCAACCTTGGTCAGACACTTTTTGATCTTATCATTATATATACATAATAGTTTTCAATTTTGATCTTATGGTTTTCTATTGTGAGATTGATTTAAAAATGAGTTACATTTCAATTTTATTATAAAAAAATGTTAAATTTCATTTATCTTACTGTTAAAAAGCGAAAAACATTGTCAAAGAGTAAATTGAGATATTGAAACTCAGACCTATGATACGGAGATTGGAATCCGGACCAATTTTATGACAAAAATGGAATGTCTCTATCATAAAGTGATTTGTTGAAAAATAATCACATCCAAATATTAGAATCCTAAATATAAAAGACATTTTAGAATTTTCGTGTCATTAACATCGAGAATTTCTTACCCCATCCCTTGGGGTTCTTAGGCACCATGTGCGCTTCCAAAAATACCATATGCTTTCGGAGATGTATCTCCAAACGCACATTTGTTTACTCAATGTTGGTTTTTTCTGGAGCTACATCTACGGAATGTTTCCGTTTATATAGCTCCCGAACATATTGGAATACATTCGCGCCAAAGTGTTTTCTCTTCCCCATTCTTCATTTTTCATCTTATTCACTCTCAAACTCTCCAAACTCTCTCAATCCTAAAAAAATCATTTTTCACCAAACTTAATTTGTTTCAATCGAGTTCGCCTAGGAGCATTCATTTCAACGATCAAGACACTCCAAATCATTCAAAGCTCGATATAATCATTAAATTTTTGAGTTTCTGAGGTATTTTCAAGTATTTTTCGTAAACGAGTTAGAATATAGTTTTAGGGGTAGAAATCCTTAGATAGTTTTAGAAATATAGTTTAGAGACAATGTATGTGTTGGCTGAGACGGACGATCAGGACTTTAAAAAATTGATTTTCATGGGTAGGGGACGTCATTGTCGTGACTGCTGGAGTTGCAGAAAGTTCTAGAGCTACATCTACGGAACAAATTAACATTAGGTAAATTATGTAGATGCAGCTCCAGAACATATTAAACATTGTGAATTCTGGTTACTTCCGTAGATACATCTACGGAATTTTTCCGTGTGTAAATATCCGGAAGTAAAAAAATGTTAATTTTTTTCTTTTTTGTTTTTTTAATTTATTTATATCTAATTGTTTTTTCTTGGTTATACCTTGCTGACATTATGGCAGACAGAGACGATAGATTGCAACTTGGACGGGTTTCACAGCATGCATTTGTCAGACACGACCAGAGTTAGGATACTACCGAGGCATAACCTTCTTCGTCACATGCCCAGGATATTCCCTTGGCCTCGTATCCCACCTCATCATCCACTTCTTCATCCCAGAGGCGTCGGGATTCAACTGAGGGTTCATCACAGACCTCATCCTCCCGCAGGCCTCGTCAGATACTCTTGTTCCTCCTCCTGTCGATAATGTTGATCCGGTGCCACCTCTAGAGGGCGATGACCCACCACTGGAGAATGCTGGTGACGAAGACAGTGATGAGCTTGAGGGTTTCCTAAGGGGTCCTTCAGATATGTCTCTACTGACAGGGTACACTGACCATACTCTGAGACATATATGGGATAGAGAGGTAATATTACTCAGATTGTTTCTTTCTTTTTTCATTAGAAATTATAATTTGTACCACTATTTCTTATTAACATTGTTTCTTATTTATGGAAATTTTCAGACTCGTCCTCCGCAGAAGTTCTATAACCATAGGCGGAAGATATTAGCTTTGGATCAGCCACATGAGGCTTGGTTCCAGGAAGTCCTTACCATATCTGGTTTCAAGGATCTTTGTAAGATTAGTTACAACCTGATCCACAACGGGATGCTGATGGGCTTTGGAGGGAGATGACACCCTAAAACATCCTTCTTCCATCTACCGCACGACGAGATCACAATTACACTAGACGATATCTCTTGTCTGTTACATATACAAATCAAGGGTACCCTCCTCATTCATGGTAGAATGGCAAAGGAGGATGCGAGAGAGATGTTGGTGGAAGAGCTTAGGGATGATCCACTGGATGCGCTTGAGGAGGTGAATAAGACCAGAAGGGCTCATGTGAGGTTCTCCTATCTGACGCGTAGATTTGGTGAGGCGCTCGCTGCTGCATGGTAGACAGATGGTGATCTAGCTGAGGTTGAGATACACAGGCAGCGCATGGTGAGGTGCTATTTTCTATTTTTAGTCGGCACTCAATTGTTTGTGGACACGAGCTCCACATATACCGATGTCGCTTACCTCAGGTACTTTTTGTATTCCACACAGATCCATGAGTACAACTGGGGGGCAGCTACACTGACGTACACGTATTCGAGATTGGGAGAGGGATGCATGTGGAAGACATGGACTGTGGCGGACAATGTGTCACTACTTGTGGTAACAATATTATATCCTTAGACTTTTTGTCATTTCTTTTCATTCTATATTCGTGATAATGCTTGATCCTGATGTTTTTTTATTTTTATTTCAGGCTTGGATATTACAACACTTTCCCATGATCTCCGGGTGGGGGAGTGTGCCTAATTACACATAGCTAATGCCGCGTGCCCGTGCCTTTCTCCTTCTCAGGGGGAACCAGACGGTCGACCCTTATAGAGTTTATCTCGATCGCATGACTGCTGAGGACATCCGCTTCGACGTCTATGCTGATCACCGTGTGACACGCCCGTTTGATGACATCTCACTATTCTCATAATGGTTGACATGCAGTTCGATCATCACTGTTTCATATTTGCCTGAACGCGTCATACGAAAGTTCAGGTACACACAAACGATACCCAGACACCCAGCTGTCTCCGCTCCTCTCGGTTTTACCCGTATGCAGATAGAGAAGATATATGTTGACTATCAGAGGCACATGGTACCGAACGAGGCTCAGGCGACCAGAGCGCCGAGAGACTGGAGCTGCATTGATGGCTACATCATGTGTTTCTTCACCGTCTCACACTCTTACATGGTGCCCACTGCAGAAGGATCATCGCCCAGACCATCTCATCAGAAGATTTTAAAGGAGTAACAGTCTCAGTTGGACCACACTTAGGATGTCCTACCTCGCTGCCGTCAGATAGTGCAAATGGGGGGGGGGGGGGGGGAGGGGTGGGAGGCATTGACGCCAGTTTCTTCCCTGAGGGTTCTGACCACATACGTATATTGGATCGGATGATTGCGGTGGCAGATGGGGCATTTATGTACCGCAGACCTCGCGACAGAACGGGCGGGATCGATTGCCGAGGACACATACCAACGGTCGAGGAGGGGGTAGAGGAAGAGGAGGTGGCAAAGGAGAGGATGGAGATATTGTTAGGCACACAGTAGTGACTGTGGTGTTGTCTTTTATGTACTATTTTTTTATGATGCTTATGACATATGACTTCACATTATTTTATTTGTGGATGTATGTTATTTTATATTCATCTGCGATCAACAAAACTTGATTTTTTTTTTAAATTTGTTCTGATAAAATTTCGGAGATGCATCTACGAACATTTTTCGTAGATGTGTCTCCGAAAGTATCCAGCATAAAAAAAAAATAGTGCGTCCGAAAATACAGCTCCGAAAATAGAGGACATAAAAGAAAATGTGCTAAATGATTAAGAGTATCAAAGAGTAGATTAAGAAACTCTTTAGCAACATCCTATTAAAATGTGAGGAGTTAGGCCGAGGCCCATATTTAGCAACATCCTATTAAAATGTGAGGAGTTGGGCCGAGGCCCATATTTGAGCTTGACCCAGGAAAATATTTATTAAAAAACTTGTGGTAGTTTTAACAACTTCTGTCGCTTGCTTCAGAAACCATTATTATTCGTCAAACACTGGAAAACGAGTCTCTCTATTCGTTCAAGTCTCACCGTTTTCTTAAACTGGTACATGCATCTTATTCCTAACCTCATTTCTTACCGTCTCTTTTTTAATAATTAGTTTTCTCTTTAAATGAATAGGTGTTTCAGTGAAAACCATGAATTCCGGCGATGGATATGCTGTTGAAGTCACCGGTCTCTCTCCCAATGCCACCGACAAAGATGTCTCTGAGTTTTTCGCTTTCTCTGGTGCCATTCAGCATCTTGAAATCATCAGGTAAAAAAATGAATTCAAATAATTTGTTAAATTCAGTAACAGTTAATTTTTGAGTTTTTCTAATGCTTCATTAATAGATGATTTTTTAACTGTAAAATTAACAAAAAAATATATATATAATTAGTGTGTTAACAACTGGGTTAAGCAAATTAACTGATTATTAAACTAACTATAACTGATTCAGTTAGAGTGATTTTACATATGCTAACAAACTAGGTTTAGCAATATAATATATATTGAAGTAAACCAGAGATAATTGAATTGAATTGTTCGAAAATCATCACCGAGGTATTAAGCCGCGGTTACAGTTGCTACGCAATCCTTGAGATTGTGAAATATTTCAGTCTAATATGGATTAATTGGGCGCAGTGACATCCAACACCTTGACATTGTTGACACAATTGTAGCCGCGAACAGTTTTAGAAAAATTCTATTATCACATCCAAATGACTGGGTTCCAAAGATATCTGTGATGTAACGTAGACCTTTTGTCTCATGCTTCTGGCAGTAGTACATGATTTGGATTTGGGCCTTCTAGTTTGATGTATTTAGATTTTAGTCCCTTAGGCTTAGGGACCGATATCTTATTATTTTGAAATTATAGGGTAAATAGCGGGATAGCAGAGTAGAGTGGTTCCCGGCCAAGAGCGGTTTCTGGCGCGCTATCCTTTTCTTTTCAAAAAAACCAAAATTACCCCTTATCTTTACAATGTTTTAAGGGTAATTTTGGATTTTTCAATCAAATTTGAGTTGAGACTTAACCTTCCTTCATAGTCATTTATGCACTTCAAGAGTCATGTGTGCTTTGATTTATGAATATTTTATGAGTTTTGTTATTTGTTTAATTTTACATTAAATATGTGTTTAGAATTTTTATACATAATTTGTCCAAAAAATGATCAAATAGAGCTGTCATCCCGCTATACACTATCTCACTATTCCACTTTTGGGGTCGGCCGCTATCCGGGAATGACTACTTTGCATCAACCAAATTTGAGTGGTATATTGTTAGACGGGGGCCCTTGATTAAGAATGTTTACCTTATGAAACACACTAGAGAAACTAAGAAAAATAATCTCTGACTAGTTAAGGGAAAGATGTAGATAGAAGAAAGTTAGCTGACTTTTGTTAGTGGTTAGTTGGGCTGTAATCTGCAAAAATAAATATGGGAATTTAAGAGTGAATGACACTGAAGTTGTATCCTTTGTTTTGTTGTTTCTGGTTCTTGGGGCTGTATCCACATTGGGACAATACTGAGGACAAGGGTTAATCAACAACGACACATTCTTCTACTCACAATTTTGCAGTTATCATAGCCAGTCTTACTATTAAAAAGAGAATGCCATCCTTTCTAAGAGGTAAATAAGATGACAAAAGAAAGGGGCGAGTTATTTTCTGAATTGCAAACTAACCAATTAAAAGCTTAGGACTGGTTATGAGCCCAAGCCAGTAAGCACCAATGAGAAAGGGAGTTTTGGGTACTTGTTTTTTCTTAAGCTAATAGCCTGCAACCATACAAATTTGCATTCACCGGCCGAAAATAAAAAACATGGTTCACGTTACTATGGCCCTTATGAGGTGCTAGAGAGAACTGCAAATGTTGTATTCAGGTTGGAATTACTGTAAGGCAGAAGAGTATAAAACACAGCAGTTGACATCTAAACATAATTAATTATGAGGACCAACATCCTGATTGATAGACGCTATAATGACCAATTTCCTTTTGAACCTAATTTTCTGGGGTTTTTGTTTTCCCTTTATTGCTATTCAGCTTACTGAAATGCGGTGTACAGTTTTGGCCTAGAAACAAATTCCATGAGATGTTTTTGCTGCTTAGCTCACTCGGTTTATTGGAATTTGTTATGATGTCAATTAGTATCAGTTATTAAACTTTGCCAAAGGGATTATTTTAATATTCCTGCTTGTAAAAGAGCCTTTGGTCTTTAATGTTAAGCTGTTGGTAATGTTTGCTGGGTAGCTGGACTGAAATTGCCTGTAGTATTGTATTTTCTCGTTTGTGTTTTTGAGATATGATTGACTTTTGGCATAGTATTCAGAACTTGTTTTTTTACCCGGAACAGGTCTGGTGATTATGCTTGTACAGCTTATGTGACCTTCAAAGATGCATATTCTCAAGAAACTGCATGTTTACTCAGTGTGAGTGTTTATCTAACTCATGTCCATAATACTTATAAATGATAATGCTGAAATTGGAATTGTGTCAACGGTAAAGCTCATGATATATTGATTATGTTCTGTTATTCATTGCTTTCTTCACAATTTGTTCTGTTAGGGAGCCACTATTTTAGATCAACGTGTATGCATAACACGCTGGGGGCAGTATGCAGAAGAATTTGATTTTTGGAACACGTCCTCCCGTGGTCATGAGGAAGACAGTTATTCAACTGTATGTATTTTATTTATTTTCCCATGCTGCTAATGATTACGAATTTCTGGTCATAGTTTGGCATTCAATGTTTTTATTCTATCAATTTCAGACACACCATAGCAGTCAATTTGTTTCTTCTGCCGGAGAAGCAGTTTCCATGACCCAAGAAGTTGTCAAAACCATGCTAGCAAAGGGATATATTCTCAGTAAGGATGCATTAGCTAAGGCCAAAGACTTTGATGAGTCACACGGTGTTTCTGCGACAGCAACAGCCAAGGTTTCTGAGTTGAGCCAGAGAATCGGCCTCACTGATAAGATATCTGCAGGTTATGAAGCTGTTAAATCCGTCGATCAGAAGTATAATGTCTCTGAAACAACCATGGCAGCTGCATCGGCCACTGGAAGATCAGTAGCAGCCGCTGCAAACTCCGTGGTAAATAGTAGCTATTTTTCAAAGGGAGCCTTGTGGATGTCCGGTGCTCTAACCCGGGCGGCTCAAGCTGCATCTGATTTGGGTAACCGTGGTGCTAGACAGTAAGAAGGTGAAATTGTTCTACTCTTATATTTCTTGTATATATCTGTGCTATATAACTTCTCTAACTTTTATGGTATCTACTAGACACTATTGTACAATATAGGCTTGAACAATTTTTCAGTTTCTACCTTAAATTTGTATCGGTTTTAATCCGTAAAATAACGATTTGCTTTTGGTATTCATTGTTCTGCTTTAAATTCTTGCAACATTTTTAAGTGGTAGTTGAATTATATTTAAACTCTAGGAATTTATTTGCTTTATTGGAAGAAATTAAACATGAATAAATATTTGAGAAACTTAATCCAGCGATAATGTTTTTTTAAATAAAACACTATGAAATGAAACTTTTGGTTACTGTATCACTAAATTATGTTTGGTATTGTGTTGTCATGGCTGGGGATGGATTTAGAAATCTCGATTAAGGAGGGTAAGATTTAATACCATGTATTTAAGTCTTTTAGATTTATACTAAATCTCAATTATTAATGTGAATAAATCAAACAGTTATATAAATAATTTATTTTATAAAAAAATTGTTATATATATTTATTATTTATTATTTTATTTAATGTAATTGTTTGATTTAATTCTATTAATGTTTAAGATTTAATGTAAGATTTTTAAACTTATATTTCATGATGTCAATCTTGATTCATTTAAATGAATAATTGCGCGTTTGAACATTTTCAACACGGTTTAGTATACATTCTTTTATGCGTGTGCAAACAACAAATCATTATCAATTTATCATAATATTGTGAATTTATCTCTTCCAAATAAAATTATTAAATAATTATTTCTTAATTTATAATTAAAAAAATAGGAAATTTCTTATTGCTTCATATATATTTTTACTATACACTCTATTTTTAAGTAAACGTTAATATATTTCAGAGATATATCTTCAAAATAATTTTAAACTTTAAATATTCAGAACATGTCACCCACAACTCATTTACATTTGAATTGTTCCAGAGATGCACTTATGAAAATATTCTGGAGATAAATCTCCGAAATATATCAGAACAAGTTTTTATTTTTATAACAAGCTGTGTATTTGTTTTCAGATGAAAAAATAGACGTACAAATTAATAAAAGACTAATATTGCATGTATCTAAATTAATATAGCAATATAATCGTAAAATATTGTACAACGTGAGATCCAAAATGTAGTAACAATGTCAAATATAAAGTAAAAACTGTAATACAACATCAAAATAATAACAGACTACTACTAGGTGTGTCTGACAACCTCTCCTATACCTCTTCTGCTTGCTCCGCCTGTTATGCCCCATCGCCTATCGATCCCCCCGTCCTCCGACGATGTCTCCAATACGATAGTACCCATGTGCCTCCGCCACCATGGCATCCAGGACTCGCTTGACAGCAGACCCTTAAGGGAAGATACCTTTTGTCAATGTTGTCCGCGCAATCTCAACTATGCGATGACACCGAGGCAAGACATCCTCAATGATCTAGTTGAGTCTGCTCCTCATCTAGAATCTCCTGATGAACTGATCTCGGCGGATCTCATGGAGTAGTCTGCATCATTTACAGATGTGAGACTCTGAAGAACCACCTGATGTATCCGTCGACATAGCTTTAGTCGTTCGGCGCTATGGTAGCCCGGGCCTCCTCTGTTTGCCTACGAGATAAGGCAGGAGGAACAGAGATGTATGATGATGGTCAGGGTGTACCCGAACTACCACATGACGCACTCGGGTAGATGAGGAGCAAGAATACGTGATTCGTAGGCCAGCCATCCAGAGTATATCGACATGTCGTCAAATGGCTGTGTCTAACAATGATCCATGTAGCTGTTGAAGTGGATGTCCTCAACAACTAAACAGTTAAGATGGACTTTGAAAGGCTCGACCGCCTGGTTCCCTCTCAGCGGGATAAAAACACGGGCACACAACAAGTCCTTAGTGCACTCACCCAACTAATGATGTGCTGGAAGTGCTGGAGGATCCAAGTCTGAAATGAAAATATAAAAAAAAAGCATTCAGGGATCAAGAATTATCGGAAATGGTTTCACAAATATGAAATGAAAAAGATAAAAAAAAAACATTCAAGGATAACAAATTATTACCACCAAAAGTGTCGTGCTGCCTGTGACCTACTTCGTCTTCCACAGAAATCCGTCCCTCAACTTCGAAAATAGATAGGTTAGGCAAGCCACCCCCTAGTTGTACTCATGGATCTGAGTGAGATCCAAGAAGTACCGGAGGTAGATGACGTCAGTGTAGGTTGCACTTGTGTCCACAAAAATACAAGTCCCAACGAAAAAAAAAGAAAGTATGCTCTCAAAGCATGCATCCTGTGTACCTCATGCTGCCCAGCATCACCATGTGCTTGTTGTGCCATACTGATCTCGTCCACATACGACATCCTCAGGAACCCAAATCTAACATGAGCACCCCCGATCTTATCGACCTCCTCCATCGCTTTCTCTAGATCTGCCCCTAGATGCTCTACCGTCATCTCAACTGCCTCATCTCTGGTAATTCTCCCATGATCGAGGAACTTCTCCTGATCGGAAGATGTAACAAACATGAGACATCGTCAAATGTGATAGACATCTCACCATGCAGAAGATGAAACGAAGATGTCTCAGAATGTCATCTTTATGCGAATGCATTAAGCATTCCATGGTTGATTTGAGTGTAATGGTCATGCATAGGTCCTTTAGACCAAATAAAGATAGAACACTCTGAAACCAATCCTCCTCCTACTGAGGTAGTGCAACAATTTTCCTCCCATGGTTTAGAAACTTCTAGGGATCACGCTCCTGAAATTTGCCAGAAATAAACAATGTCAGTAATAATCATTGTCAGAAATTAAAATTAAACTAATGTTACCTCTCAGTCTATGGCTGACAGTGTGGTTTGGATAAAGAGGAAGTAAGGACATATCAGATGGACCTCCGCCAAAAATTCCTCTGACTCGGCATCCTCAGCAACCTCACCCTCCTGAGGTGGCATTAGATCAGCAGGATCATCAGCGAGAGGTGGCACTGGTGCATCCTGACGCCTGTAGGAGGATGGGGGAAGTGACGCGTCAATTGGTGAATCTCGTCACCTACGGGAAGAAGAAGAAGAAGAAGAAGAAAAAGAAGGTGGAGTGGCCTGGGATGAAGGTGAAATGGCCTGAGATGAAGTGGCCTGAGGTAAAGGTCGAGCTCCAGGAGTAGATTGCGCCCTAGAAGACGACGCCTCTGCCTGACCAAATGTACCTACTACCTCCGGAACCTGCTGCCTCCACTCCCACTGAACGGATGCGTGTTGGACAACCCAGTCATGTCTTAGTCTGTCTACTCTGTCAGCCATAATACTATAAAGTAAATTATGTTGTATCATAAGTGCATGCAGACAACACAAACAAACAAGAAAATTAAAAAAAAACTGCAGGATATTCCGGAGATACTTCTCCGGAAATACCATAAAACAATAACGTTGACCAAATTCGAAAATGCATTTCTGGTTACACCTTAAAATTTTTTACTTTGAATACTTCCGGAGATGCATCTCCGGAATATCCCATAGGATATGAAACGCTGGACAATTCCGGAGATGTATCTCCGGAATATTATACAACTCAGAGGTCGCGACAATTGTGTAATACACCTCTTGCAATGTAAAAAAAATGTCCTGATCTCCATTTTGAGCCAACAAACAAGTCATACACCAAGTCTAAACTGTGTTACTTGTGATTTCTACACATTTCTACCCCTAATAACTGATTTTACACATTTACACTAAAACTCGATTATTTATCGAAAACTCGAAAAACTTACGTGAAATTGATTATTCTGATGTTGTTTTCAATATTAGAGATGATGCTTGATGTTCTCTTTAGTCCCTCTGACGCATTGCTTGAAGAAATTTGATGCTTGTGATGATAGATGAAATTGAGAGAGTTTGGTGTTTTATATGGAACAAACCGTGAAATGAGAAAGGAGAAGAGTCTGACGCGAGTTAAACTCTAAATTGTTCTGGAGATATATCTCTAGAAATACGTCTATTGAACTTAGAGTGCGTCCAAAGATATATTTCTCCAAAATCAAAGAGTATATGTGAAAATCCATATAGTGCTCTAAAAACATATAGAATGTGTTAAAAAAATAGTAAAAAAAATTCTATTCTTACAAGATAAGTAGGTTATAAAAATAAGTTATTCCTTGAATGATAGGATGAAATGAAGGTCAAAGACAAACAAAAATAGAAATTCTTATTCAGCAAGTACTATTTAAAATATCCGTATATCATTTTAATATTTTACTTAAAAACACTCTCTCTCTCTCTCATGTAAATAAATAAATAAAAACTCTCTCATTATCATTTATTGTTTTATGATTATAGTCACCCTTTTATAAATCAAATATATCTTTATTATTTCTGTAATATTTATATATTAAAAGATTAGCCCTTCAAACAATCAACATCATAATTTGAATTATTTTGAAGATATTACTTTGTTATACGATATATTAATTTAATGGTACTAATAGATGCAGGCTGCGCTAAAATAAAATGGCTTGATATTTGGACTTGTTCAGTCCTCTGGGATGGGACTAAATTTTTGAAAGAGATTAATACTATATATTGTGATTAAAATAAAGTTAATTTTTTTTAAATATTTAATAATTATAATTAATTGACAGTATAAAATATTTAAAAATGTGAAACATAAATTTAACTTTTGTCTTAAAAAGAATATTTGATCACGCTCAAAGATTAAGGAGGAACTTTTTAGAACAAATATGTTTTTTCTTTACCTGTAAAATAAATGGCATTTTAAAGATGTAGCTAATTCACCAATATTTCTCCGCAATGAACGGCTCTGATGCATGGTCCATATGTTTTACCCACGAATACAAAATTGATAAAGCCACACTTTTCTTTCAATTCTTTTATAGAAGAACATAGTTGAATGAGTAGTTGACAAATCACCATCAATGCATGCTTCCTCTTACAAGCAAAACACCAAAACCACAAATTAA